AAAGTGATGCATTTGTTACGGCCACTACAGGCGGTAGCTTATCCATGTATAGGTAGAACCGTCTTAGGTTCTCATATGCAAGCGTGATTGTGTCGACTATATCAGAGTTGTCGGTCAGAACCCACAGATCTCCGGAGTCCACTTGGTTTAGGCTCCCTCGGCAAAATGGGCACGATTGAGATCGGATGTACCTAGCATCCCACCAATTAAGTGTCTACTTAAGTTTTTCTACTTTTGATCTTTTTACTATATTGTCTAAAATATTTTTGATACTCATCTTTAAATTTTTTCATTTTTAGTTCTTCGACCATTGTGGACACTTTTGGTAATCGTGTTTTTTCCACTTTGAATCATGACTATTGTGAAAGTAACATTGGTGCACTCCCTGTTGTTGGCCTGTGGCAAAATTCATAGTTGAAAGACAAAAAAGCCACTTTCACAATAGTTGGAAGATTAATAGTAAAAATATTCAATGTTGTATACATGTCATATGTGTCTTTGTAGAATTCCAACGGGCTAAAAATAGAAAAATTCAAAGACGAACGTCAAAATTGTCACTGACACATCGCCTTAGGACTAAAAGTGACATAAAATCTTACTTATGTTCAATCTAAATAAATAGAGTTAACATTGTTGAGTTATAATATGTAGTATAAACTATCAAAGGGAAGTCCAAATATAAGCTTCAGATTTTAGTTGCACTTCACATTTATTATACACTCCGTATATTATTATATATAATATTATATCTCAAAAAAGAAAAGAAAAGAAAGCCCTACATGCATATATACATACCAGTCATGGAAGCAGTTAATGCATAAGGAATGACCACAATTAGGCAGCACCATATTTGCACCGCTCTCCATGCATATGCCACATTCGTCTTCTCTCTGAAGATCTTCACAAGGTTGTACCGTTTCTTCCACTCCCCTGCTTGAATTGTCACAAAGATGAATTCCCCTACTATTGCCTTCTGCTAATTCGATGAGGTTGCCTTGCAGCTGCTTCAGTGAAGGATATATCACAGCTGTACATTTTGTTGTGAATTTTAATGGCCGGGTTGATGTTCCATTTGGTAATTTGGACAATATGAAAATCAAGTGTGATACTGTGAAGTATCACACTGCTATAGTGATCTTCTTTAACGCTGGTTTGGTCAGAGGATTTTGGAGGAGATGGAAGGGAGAGGCGATGTTAAATTTGATAGTTTTTACTTTTAAATAGTTGTTAATTAAGTAATTTTAGACAATATATAGGAATATATGATCCAGCTAATTATAAAATTATATCTAATATAAAACTAAAAAATAGAGATAAATTAGAAATTAAAAAAAAACTATCATCCCTTTTCCTTCCTTCTGAAATGCCCGAACCAAATTTTGAAAATATAGAGGATTATAATGATGAAACTGAAAAGTCAGTCTTATATGATACAGAGTATGAAACTAGCTTAAGCAAAGACACCCTTCTAGAAAATTAAGGGGTGCAAACAGTAGGGAAAGAGTGCAGACCATAAAAATCTCTGAGGGTTGCTGTCCTTTCGTGGGGAGACATGGTTGGCATTTCATCAATGTACACCTGGCCGTGAGCTTAAGTTAGCTTCTTTAAGGTGTAGCAGATATGAAACAAATATGAAACAAATAAGACAATAGCAGTTAAGCCAAGTAAATCATGAAATTGTTTCTGATGGAAGGATTGATACTTCTGAATGGCATCATACTAATAGAGTAGAGTTAGGTGGACACTTAAATTCAAGGTGACTCTCCCTCATATTTCAATGTGGGATTTGCCGTTAAGGCATTAGGCTACTCGTCCTATAAAGTTGATGTTTGAGGTAGAAACCCCAACTTGTTTATATGGTATCAAAACCAATAGAGTAATTAGATCCTAGTAAGTATACTAGTAATCTCAATAATGCTCACACAAAATTCGATATTGGTCTGCTCTGATGAGACATCATTTTGTCGTGCTGAATAAGGTCTTGAACTAATCCTCCTATAAAATTGACCTTTTAAATGAAAATCCAAATTTTAATACTTGGGATACACCCTAACACAATTATTTGGCACTACATAGGTGATAAGACGTACGATGTTTTCTCCGTGAGTGGGAGAACTGTCCTTTGTTCAGAAAGATTATATATGTACAACAAAAACAAAATACTATTGTGAAAGTACAACAACAAAATGGGCTGCAAAACAAAGATGTGAATATTACAACGGAGACGAAATGCTTACTTTGTATACAAGTATATGAAGGAGGCCTAACCAGCTTGGAATAGAATCCAAGCAACTATAGTCCATCCATTCTATAAGAAATAGCAAGAAATTGGCCATAGGGCTATATGCGACCTTCATGAGGACACAATGCCCATTTAAATCCAATGGTAGTGCGCCTGCCCTGCAAAACTCATCAATTGAACACAACCATTTTAAAGTCCATTCTAAACGCTCACAGACATAACCATTGCGTTACTAGCGAAAAGCACAATAATGTTGACATACATGTAATACGTAGTACATCATAGCAATATCCACATGGACTCTCAAATAGAGGCAGGCTATAACAATTCTGTGTATCTTTGTTTTTCAAGAATATTATTAGGAATCATCACATTCACCTGAACCATAACTGGTTGGGTAGCTTAGGTCAGTGGTGGACACAAAGGGTGGCAATGCCCCCCCCCCTCCCCCAAAAAAAAAAAAAAAACTAGGTATATTTACCCCGAAAAATTTAATATATATGTATTTGTATGTGTATTTTTGTACTGCCGCCCCTGCTACCGGGAAATCCCGCGTCAGCCGCTGGCTTAGGTAACATGTCATTTATAGTTTCAATAATAGTTTAGAATTAGTTCAACATTATAAACTAATGTAAGGAAAAAAAGAATGTCACAGGAAAACAAAGTAAATAGTAAGCAAAATGATTCCAAAAAAACAATCCAGGAAAAATGATTGTGGGCATTTGGAATGTCATCATCATTACCAGCTCCTTAATAATCTCAACTAGTTCGGGAGGTGATGAGTTTACATATTTAGTTATTTACTATCATGTCCCCTGGAACTGTTGGAAGATTTATAATGTAAAACTAACCTGCATATCTTGGAACATCACCAAAATATCGGACAAAGGGCATAGTAACACGCTAAAAGTTTTCTTGGTCTAAGAATTGAAAGAAAAATCTCAGGTTAAAATATTTTACTCTGTATAAGTAACACATGAATTTTCATTAACCTGAACACCCTACCACCAAATGCATGTTCAACCAACTCCCATATCACGAATATCTCAACACAGAAACCCAAAAGGGAAATCATTAGAAAAAAATTACTTCATCATAAATAAACCATAGATAGTTCTGCAAGTTCTTAATTGAACAGTATTACCTTTCTACAAAGAGAGAGAATTCCATGGGTAATGAACAAAAGTGAAACTTACAAGCTATTGGCATGTTGAACATCAGCTTCGAGGGCTTTGAGTGATTCTCTAAGAGAAGATTTGTGGGGCAGAGTTTGCCACATTTATTCTCTGCTCTGTTCCTCTTTCACAGCTTTTTCCTTCTTTTGGCAAGAAATTTTTATTCTCTGTCTTGGATGTAATTAAAAGGCACAAAAAAGTGGAAGAATTTGGGTGGAACCATTAAATATCAGAAACTTTTATGGGGGTGCCGTGGTGGGTAGGACAGGGTAAGAGAGGAGGGGACGTGGAGAAGTAGCTTGTTGATTTGAACTTTCCTACTTGAAGGAAAGAAAAGGATACCCTCCATTAATGGTTTTCCCTAACTTATGTGGCCTGCCATAGCTTAGCTTCGCGCTAAGTCTATTACAGTTGGAGACTTTTTGTTTATTTTATGGGACATTCCTGAATTTTACTTTTCCAAAAGCACATTTTCAGTCATTATCGATTTTTACTATAAAGAATTTCTTTGGAATTACTTATTTTTGATAAAATTTTAAAATCATTTTAAAAAGAAAAAAGAAAAAATGGATAAGAATAATTAACTATTGGTGATCTGCTTGAAATAATTCAAAGTTTTAATTATTTCAAAATAATCTCAATATCGAAAAAATACTTCAGGGAAAATAAATTTTCAGAAGTCATTTACATATTATTAATTGTCCTTGGAGTATTTTGATATTTTTTTAATAGTTATGATTATTTTGAGATAATTGATATATTTAATCATTTCAAGAAGATCACTACTAATTGAGATTATTTTTATTCATTTTTACTTTAAAAAAAGAGAAAATAAATTCAATACCCCAAATTTTAATGAAGTGTGAGATAAATGATTTAAACATGCATATGTAATACGTAGTATATATACCTTAAACTTTAATTTAAAAAAATTGCACCATTATTGTATGTTTTTGTTACAAATACAAAGTTATTGTAATGATTACATAATTTAAAATATTTCCAACTTTATTCGAATTCAATTAATATTCTAAAATTTCACTTGTGAAATGAATAATTTCACATCCGGTACAATTTAATTCTAATTGCATCCTCATAAATGTTTTGTGGATTTTGAATTATGTATTTAACACGTAAAATTACATTTGTGAAAATATATATGATCATGATGCTAATGTAATTTTTCATATAGATTTTGGGGTGTATATATATTACATGTGCAAGTTTGGGTTAGTTATATTACACTATTTTAAAGTTTGAAATATTTAAATTATTTTCCTAAGATTACTCAGACTTATTACTTTTTGAAATAATAGAAACAAACTCAAACACATGAATATCATCTTTTTTAAGAACATAATTCAAAATTGTGTATTTTGAATTATGTATTTAACACTGTAAAATTACATTTATGAAAATATATATGATCATAATACTAACATAATTTTTCATAGGAGTATAAATTTTGAGGTATATGTAACATGTGCAAATTTGGATTAATTATTTGACACTATTTCAAAATTTGAAATATTTAAATTATTTTCCTTTGGAAGATTACTCAAACTTCTTTTTTGAAATAATAGAAACAAACACATGAATATCATATTTTCTTTTTTAAATTTGGTTAACTCATAAAAAAAGTTGTAAGTTCTTTGAACGAGATCAGAAATGGGACGTTAGCCATCTGCTTCGTAGTTCGTACTGCTCTAACTAACGATGCATTTTTTGAAACTGTAAGAATTGGACCTGCTTCGCCACCACACCAATGAACCGTCCTCTGAAAAGCTTTTTTCAGTTATCTAGTGGCATTCCCATATGCTTGATTTGCCATTTCTGTGTCTGAATAGCAGAAATATCGGCAATCTGAGATGCCTTCATCTCCCAAATACTTCACAGCCCGCCCATTCACCCACTCATATTCTCGCAGATCCACGACCCTCATCCTGATCTTCTTGATCGGCCTCGCCGGGTTTTTGATTGCGCTAATCGCTATTTCGAGACAAGGATTCGGGTACAGATGTGAATCCAAAGAGCCCAGATCAGTTTCGGTTGTCTGGGATAGAAGCAGCGGGATGCCGAGCAGTGGCGGTGTTGATGGAGAGCGAAAGAGACACAAAGTAATGGGCTTTGTCGGGGTCCAAACTGGGTTCACATCCGCAGCTCGCCGGCGGGCCCTCCGGCAGACTTGGTTTCCCTCAGATCACCAAGGGCTTCAAAAGTAATTTTGCACCCCATTTTTTAATTTTATTTTGCTTGTGTTTGTGCGCGCATTACTTCTGCATCTACTTCTACTCCACCTGCTGAATGAAGTTCATGTAGTTTTTTCTTAAAGGCATTTCTAGATAATGACACATGTATACTACTGCTTGTGCTATTATTGGGAGAATGCAATGCTAAAGAACACCACCATTTCGCACCAAAATGAAGAGACTGGTTTCAAGTATTGATGCTGTGATTATTGTATGATGAGTTGAATTCCAAAGTTGGTAGCTTTTAAATTGATTTTGGTATAGTATGTCAGTAAGGCTGGCACCCTTCAATATGACACTCTAGGTCTTGATTACATTAAATTAATGGGGGAGTTGGGATTTTACACACACTACTTATTCATTCAAATTTAAGTTTGAACCCAATTTTTGAAATCATAAATATATCTGAAGTCTAATTTTGATAATTTGCACCCCTTGTTTATCCCAAAACTGGGTTTGCACCATTTATAAAAATGTTCTCTAAGGCGGATTATGACCGAGAGGCCACGGTTTTAAGTCTCAGGAGTGGCATCTTGTCCCCCCTGCACACCCTTGTGGGAATGCATTCGTGCACCGGGCTGCCCTTTTAGTGTTCAGATATTAATGATTTAAAAAATGGGGCCAACCTCGAACTTAGATTAGAAGTATGGTTCAGAATCTCACCCCCCTAAAGTTTATTACTAAATCCTTCCCAAATAATCCCAAGTCTTTTTTATAAACAGAAGTTTGCAATGCAGATGGTTGTACATGGAAACCTAGTTTCTCTAAATGTTCAACAGACTGCATCAAATGCTGTTGTTATATTACATGCACACATACATTGGTTCCGTATGTATTATGTGATTATTCCCGTTAATACAATTATAAATGTGATATTGGACTACAAAAGAACTGGGGGGGGGGGGGATATTTTGATGAATAAATGTTCTCTCTCAGTGATTGTCAACATGCATGGTGTAGAATAGCTGTTTGGTCTAGAACTAATTATAGCATCCAATTTTTTGTATTTTCTCATTCAATATTCTTGTATGGGTTGAAAGTTGCGAACTTTCCACCCTTTGCTGTGTCCAAGCCCAAGAGGACATATTGTTATGGGTGTTTAATTTCTTGTTGGTAACTGACACCTTTTTCCTGGAACTTCAGGCTGGAAGAGTCTACTGGTTTGGCTTTTAGGTTTATTATTGGTAGAACTAGCGATAAATCAAAGATGTCAGAGCTTAGACGGGAGGTTTCACAGTATGATGATTTTGTGCTGTTAGACATTGAAGAAGAGTACAGTAAGCTCCCATACAAAACGTTAGTTCTGAATAATCACACGCCATCTGTCAGAATCTTATTTATGCGATTTACACTAATTTAAATTTCTTTTACAGTTTAGCTTTTTTCAAAGCTGCATACGCGCTTTATGATTCAGAGTTTTATGTCAAAGCTGATGATGACATATACTTACGACCAGGTTTCTATCCTCGTCAAGCTTTACTCATGCTTTTTTTGCAAGTTGAAATCTTTTTGCATTTTAATCAAGTAGTTGTTTTTTTTATCTTTTCTAATTAACAGATCGCCTGTCTTTACTATTGGCCAAAGAACGTTCTCACTCGCAAACATACCTTGGGTGCATGAAAAAGGGCCCAGTTTTCACTGATCCTAACCTCAAATGGTTTGTCAAAAACTGGATCCCAATAACACTAGCTTTGATAAAAACTATACTGTTTGCATTTCTTACATATTTCCTGTGTCGTTCATGCAGGTATGAGCCATTATCGAAATTGCTTGGAAAGGAATACTTTTTACATGCTTATGGTCCTCTTTATGCTCTTTCTGTTGATGTTGTTTCTAGCCTAGTTGCACTTAGGAACAACAGGTGAGTGTTCCTTGAAAGTTATGTCATACTATGAGCAAGAAGATTATGTTTATCGTATTGATAGTTGATTAAGAAAGATCAGGTGGACACTGCTGATATCATTCTCTGTAAATATTTCAGTTTCCGAATGTTCAGCAATGAAGATGTTACCATTGGCTCTTGGATGCTTGCAATGAATGTCAACCATGAGCATGATCAACAGCTATGCCAAACCCAGTGTACCGCCACATCTATTGCTGTATGGGATATTCCCAAGTGTTCAGGTTAGTATTTTTATCCACTTGATTAGAAGTTCAGCATTCAGTGGCTGTAGTTCCAGTAGCTATTACAATTCCCTGGCTGCCTATGTCCATATTTTGTTCTTCAGATCGTAAAATTAGTTGCTTTGCATTTCCACATAAATATGTGATGTGTCTATAATGTGTTGTTTGTATGTGTCATTCTATGTATATAATGATTTTTCTTTCCATTTTAGTTTTGTGACTATTGTGGCAAATATATTTTTGGCATCTGTCTTTGGATTTTTCTAGGCATCTGTCTTTGGATTTTTCTAAACTTTAGTTCTCGAGACACTTTTAGTTTCTGTATTTGAATTTTGGAAAATGCAATAAGTACAAACAAACTTACAAACAAGTGATGCGGCTATCGTAATCACCTTTGATTTAAAAGTGATGTGACGTGTTAAATAATATGATGCTGCCACGTGTCTCTTTTGTAAGACTTTTTATAAGAGTGTATGTATCTCTAGCATAACTCAACAAGTCAACAGTGATAGTTTTGATACTCCAGTTATTGTGCAAAATTCAAAGACAGAACAAAAAGTGTTACTGTAAGAATAACAAGGACTAAGAAAGGCGAATATCAAACGTTTCCCCATCACAATAGTTTAGATGATTAAGTGGAAAATTTTAAAGAGAGATACTAAAGTGTCACAATATCCAGAAGGCCAAAAGCGGAAAAAGATCAGATTCACACACACACGGAAGGTTTTTTAAGATGAATTTAATGTCTTTACCAGCCCTGCATCTTCCATCAGTAGCATTAGTCAAAATTAAACGGCTTTACCATTGTTGTCCAGAGCTAATGGAATTATGTTACATCTCTTGTCATCTAGGACTGTGTAACCCTGAGAAGAAGATGCTGGAACTCCATGCAAAAGACATATGTTCAAAGAGCCCTACTTTACCTACCGATGAAGATGATTAATAACTCCATCTTGTGCCAATACACGATAAGATTGAATGCAGATTGGTAACCACAACTTCATTTTGTATCGATCCTTTTTACCTTTACTGTTATGTTCACACAAGTAGAAGTAGGTATGATTGTGTGTAATGGTTTTGCACTGAACATTTCTTGATAGAAATATGATACACAGACGGAGGCAAACAACATATTATATCAGTATAGGCTGTATGTACTTGAAAAAAAGAAATTGTCGTGGGTAGCAACATGGATTACCTAGCTTTCATAAGGACCAGATGAGCAATTTATGGGGGTTAATATTGTCATTCCATTGTAAGTTGTAACAGACTATTTTGTAATGTAATATGTACTTGTTATAAGCTTCAATTTTATTGAATCTGAATTTTGAGTCTGTTCTTTTGCACTACTCAAGTATTTGAGCTGTAGTACTTGTTTGATCTATAATAGCTGCATCTACTACTGCGAAAATGTGACAAGAGCAACATCAACGTCATCCCGTTGATGCCGGTTAACTCATTGGCGTATTTTCCACAACAAAATGCTTGCATCTCTGCGATACTTTAAACAAATACTCCATGTACTACTGCTATTTTTGCAATCTTCTATTTCATGCTGGTACGGTGGTACCTACCATTTCAGAGGTTTATATATTATGCATTTAGTTGTACCGTGATAGTTGTACATCCAACTTCTGTAAATGCGCGTTCTTTAAAATCTATTGAGCAATCTGCGCTTACAAATTAAATACTCGGTACATGAGAATAAAAATGTATGGGATACAAAAAAGTATAAGCACGTCTGCAAGAGAAAATAAAAAAGAAATGATCAATGTTTTAAAGGAGCATTGTTTTAAAAATAAATGTGCAATCCACATATGATTTAGCGATCTTTAGAATAAATGATGGTTGGAATAAAAGATACCTGAACAATGAACACGAGAAGACAAAAACTCAAAAAGGAACGAATATTCTTTTTATTGTTCCAATCTCCCACCCGACAGAACGATGGAGTAAGTCTCGTCCAATGGTGGTAGGCCTCATACACATGCGCACCAGAGGTCTAGCCCAGCACGCAGGAGCTGTAACCTCCACACGGTCGATGCGAATTTCGATCATTGGTCATTGTTCCAAATTTCCCACCATTGGACCAACTGAGCTACCTGTGCAGGTATGAATATTCTTTTTATATTGGGATGAAAATCCCTTGTCCCTTCGGGGACATCCGATAAAATTGGGATGAAAATCCCTTTAAAGAAAAATGAGTAATCATTAAGAAAATTACAAAATATCATTTGGTGTATCGGAAAGAATGCTAAAATTTGTGCAACATAAGTAGCATTTCAAATTAATATACACATTCCGTACATAAAAATACTAATAATAATAATAACAATTATTATTACTCTGTATTTTATTTGTTTTTCAGCGTTTTCTATCTCAAATGATGCAATTAGCGGTGTATGATGTGTATCAAACAGTGGCGTTTTGGCAGAAACGCCGATATCCAAACGCAGGCATAATGGGATATTGTGGTCAGCGTTTTGATGCATGGCGGATTTCATCTTGTGTGCTTGAAACATAGTTGAACAAATGATGTTTGTTGTATATTGTATCATGTTTTCTGTGTCTAACCATAAATAAACCACCATTTCCGAGGCCAATTGGTTCAACCCAAAAGGCCAACAACACACAACTTATGGGAGTGTTTGGATGCACTATATGGTGCAAGTAATAAGGGAAGAAGAAGCAATGGAAGAAAATAAACCATCTCTATCTGTCTCAGTATATAATTGGTCCGGCTCTTGCAACACACTCAGGTTTAGTTAGGCCATGCCTCCAAAAACTAGCTTTATAAGTCAACTACTACTCCGTAGCTTTTATAGGTGAAGTTTCTATTTTCAATGTCCCATTCAAAGTTACTATCGATACTAGGTCATGTTCTACCAATTTAGGTCATGTTTATACTAGCATCCACATTCATGCTTCAAACATAATCTGATTTTTTTGTGATTGTTACCTTTTAATATTTGCCACATAATTGTTTTAGAAATAATCTCATCCCTTTTAAATTACCTTTAACCATCATCCCGAAATAATCTTATCTTTTGTGGGTCAACTCTAATTTCATAAATAATCTCAAAAGAATCTGGTTTCATATTTTGATCTCAGATTATTCTTTCAATTAATCCTGCTCAATAATACTCAACCATGCTCCCCTAAATAATTTGTCATGTCACTAGAATAATCACATAATAATCTGATGGATGATGATGCCCTTAAGGTAGGCATGGCAATGGGTCGGGGCGGGTACTGCAAGACCCAGACCCGCCCCGTGACTTGGCGGGGCGGGTCCGCCCCGCCCCGTGACCTGCATGGGTCCAAACTTGTTGACCCATGACACGCCCCATGCGGGGCGGGTCCGCCCCGCCCCGCCGCAACCTTATTAGCTAGTATGTATTTTTATTTTTGGAAGTTGTTACCAATTGCATCTACATAAAGTTTATCTCTAAATATTAATTAAAAATTAATATATTAAATCAAATTCATGATACCCTAAAAATTTCAAAAATTAACGAAAAATTACTCAGACTTGAATAGTTAATCTATTTAATTATATTAGTAATTGAACATATGTATTAGGCTTTGTTTGCAAACAATTAATTTAAGTGCTTTTGGCTGTTGGGAATACTAGGATCGTGCTAATATGAGAGAAAAACACTTCTATTACTTTCAAGAATAGAAAGAAGAGACATACAAGTTCTAACTAAAAACTCTCAAAAACAACACCTCACATATCTCTCAAGGATATTCACAACTCTTCTTGGTTGTGCTATGATGATCTATTCTAATTTACTTGATGATAGAAAGACTCTCCAAGCTCTCTATTTATAGTACCAAAACAAGGTAGTATGAAGGTGGGAGGAAGGTGGGATTAAACATGAGGAAACTTCAATGGTGGTTGAGGAAGCTCCCTTTGTCATTCTTGCACATGGAGGGAGCTTCATGGTTGTTGCTTGCACATGGAGGAAGCTTCATGGTTGTTGCAATTGAATTTTTCATTGGCTTCTGTTTTTTTTAAGAAAAAAATACTTATTTTACCAAACAATACTAACTTTTACTTTCTCGGTTTCGTGTAGAATCTACTTTTTACTTTTTCTATTACACAAAAGCACTTATTTTACCAAATACTACCAACTTTTACTATTAATCACTATTCCCAAAAAGTGCTTTTATTTAAACACAATCACTTGCAAACAGAGCCTTAAAATGCTATATATAAAGAAGACATTGATAATCTGTCGTTCATCTCATTCTAATATATGTATTAATATATTATAAGATCAAATAATTTATGATTTACTATATACACACATATGTATGTTGAAGTATATTTGTAGTATAATTTAAGAAAAAGTATGTATGCTTATGTATTGAGCGGGTCGGGTCGGGGCGGCATGGGTCAATACTAATACCCGGACCCGCCCCATTGTATAGGCGGGGACGGGGTGGACCTGCCCCATTTGGGAGACGGGGCGGGCCGGACCCGCCCCAAATGTCTCGGGCCAGGGCGGGTCACTGCGGGTCGGTTTTTTTTACATCCCTAGGGGTGGTTCGGTACGGTATACCGAATATTTTTCCTCATACCTTTGCCGTACCAAAACTTTCGGTATACAAAATTTATATACCGTTACCTTACCGAAGTTTCGGTATACCGCATTTCGGTATACCGAAGTTTTGGTACGGTAACGGTACGGTATCGGTAAATTACCATAGACTAATAAAATACACTAAATCGGTGTTACTAGCGACATATTTAATCCATTGTTAAAATGTTTTAAAATACAATTAATAATCTATTGATATCATATTCAATATTGAACAATAATTATTTTTTGATATATTTAAGTAGTTCAACATGCCACGTATTAAAAAGTAATACATTCTCCTAAAATAACTTGAATAATATAGATATAATTAAATCAATCGTGATCTCTAACAAAAATAAATAAATTCTTTCCTAATATGGATATAAAATCAATATGGATATAAAATCATTTATTCCTAATATGATTGTGTATTTAGTCATTTTATAATTTAAAAAAAAATATTTAAATAAGACTTTCGGACAAAGTTGTATGTTTTGACTCGCGGAATCCCTATGTAGATACACTCGTCACACTCGTCAGCAGCTCAGCCACCGCGACTCACAAGCTCTTGGGACAAGATGGACTTGTTTCTAGACATTAGTATATTACTCATCAGTCATTAGGGTAGTTTATTTGAATGTTACGTAATAGAAGCCTAGAAGGTTATAGTGGGATTGGGATATTGGGCTTTTATTTTTGTATTTTGATATTTGTAACCAACGTAAGTATTAAGTTTTAGGCTCCAAAGTTGTAATTGACTTTTACAATATTTTAGAATTTAAAGTAATTTTGGGTAGGGAGTCGGTACGGTATTATACCGGTATACCGCGGTATTTGAAAACACTTACCATTACCATACCGAAATAAATCGGTACGGTATGATACCGTACCGAAAATGACGGTATACCAATATTCCGGTATTTTCCGGTATTTTTCGGTACGATAAGTGCGGTATACCGATTTTTCGATATTTTTGCCCAGCCCTAGGCCTACCTTAAGGAAGACTACGGGGAAATCGTCAAACTGTTGAAGCACACTGCACAAGTGCACATCACAGTTCGACCTCATTACTTTTTAGATTTTCTTCCTTTTGAATAACAAAGAGTCCAAATTGTGGAAAAATTTCTAACCATCTCTCTTCAAAATGGAAAGAACACAATGTAAGTTTTATTTCGTTACATAGAAATTCATTTATTGTTAATACAAATGCTATGATTTATTTTTTGGGCATGTTTGCGGTTTTGCGGTGGAGATTTAAACAAATATAATTATGAAGCACATTGTAAAGTGACAGTGCTCTAAAATTACTAAACTTGCAATTTATAATTCATTTCAAAAGCATCATAAAATGGATTGTTTCAATTAAAATAATACTCCGTAGTATCTATAATCTGAAGCGACACACTAAATAGCACAAATGCAGTGTTTGGCTAGTGGCATTTAGCCCATCATAAACTGGATTAGAGATTGAATCGCCAAATGCCAAATGAGCTCATTATATAGTCACAATGTCACATAATAATCAACTAATTACTATGATTTCATTGTGGTTCAAGGGTTAAAGAAAGGAGTTGGAAGGACCTCTTCCTATATTCACCTCATTATTGTTGATATTAGGAAGATCTTGGAAACAGACAGTAACTTTGTTATCTCTTTTTGTAGAAGGTCTGCAAATCGTGTCGCTCATGCTCTTGTAAGAGCACATGTTGCTATCTCATATCAGATGGTCACCTATGATATTATCCCTCAATGCATTGTCAGCCAGTTGGCAAACGATTTATTGATTTAATATAAGTTTTGTGTTATGATGATAAAAAAATATTAGTTGTAATTTGTGAATTATTCCAATATGAATTTCAATTGCCCTTGAGAGAAATTTGGAGCAATTGAATGAGGCCTTGAAGGGAAAGCTCAACATCCTTGTTCTTTATCAGTTCTCCGGCAACTTCGGCCGGAGTCACATCTACTTTCTCAAACAACTCTTCAATTTGTTTGAACAAGTTATGATGATCTATCCCCAAATAATTTTTTGCCAATTGCTTGAATGCAGAAAATTTGCAATATGACAAATGTATATGCATATCCATTCTTCCAGGCCTTAACAAGGCAGGATCTAATTTGTCTTTGTGGTTTGTTGTGAGTACAATTATCTTTTCCTCTCCGCAACATGACAGTATCCCATCAAGAAAATTAAGCAACCCTGAAAGTGTTATGATGATAAATATTAATCCCACTTCAAATATAATCCTAGAAATAAGAAGTAGCTTTGGAGATTATGTGATTTTGGTCTTCAGATTTATATTTAACTATCATCATATTTCAATAAGATGATGTGATTTTTTTTGCAAGGAAAAGGGAAGCTATTGTTGATAAAATATTTCAGGATTACAATCAAACCACAGCATGTCACCAATTTCAGGAGGGGATTCCAAACACAGGACAGCAGCCTCCACCCCTCTCTTTGCTCGTTGAGCTATTTGGTGTGCCACACAATTTACATTCCCTTTTGACCAAACTGAAGCGCACGTCACATAAACATGAGATCGCCTCCTTCAACTCGTCGAGTATTAATCCAAAATGGGATCTATCCTTGCCTGACATGCCCAGCTTTGTTATGAGCGGAAATAATTCTCTGGGGGCAGATTCCAATAAGGTCTCATGCTGTTCCGTAAGGCTCTTGCCTTGGTGCAACCCACGACAGCGTGATAACGTTTGTGATTTTGGTCGTTTGTGCATATCAAACTTAAAATTTATAACCATTTTATAAACTGATTCTCTAAACTGATTCTGCTCCTTCAGGGAGCAGAAGCAGAAGCTGGAGTGTTTGGGTAAAATTCCAGAAGCACTTCTGGAGCTTTAATTTACTCTCAGAATCAATTTTTTTAGAAGCTGAGAGGTACCAGCTTCTGAAAACTGATTCTGATTCTGCTTCTACTTTTAAAAAAGAAGCAGAAGCAGAATCAGTTCCAAACACCCCCATAGTCGATATTTTTTTAAGAATTTATAAGAAATTCATCCTAAAAGATTCTTCTGGTCGTGAGTGAAGAGGGATATATACTTCAACATGCATGATAAGAACTCGTGATCTTGATATGGTATTGCCTACACCTCACTTTTTTCCCATTTCATATTACTGCATCATATCACAGCCTTTTGAATTGAAGACAAGTTAACATTAACTTTGGACTACGTCTAATATCAAGTTAATCTAATATACTATGAGAGTCGATTATGCTCTGATTTGAGAAACAAGATTACATTTTTGGCAAAGATTTAGAGACTGTTATGATATAATTCAATATTTCTAAGGAAACTTGCCCTAAATAGAAGCAAAAACGTTCTGCAATTTCAAAATAGGATTGTTATGTTTTTCTTCCCGAAATATGAGGCGTTACTGTCATGACTGAAAACAGTGCCATTAATGACAATTAATATTGTCATATTAATAATGCCTAGTACTACAAGTCTACAAGTATTTTGACCAGTAATGAATCCGGTGACAGAAAATAACTTCATGTTACTCCTATTTCAGGATGAAAAGCATATCAGTCATATTTTAGAATTCTTAAACATTTTGACTCCTATTCGAAGATTTTTCCCTATATCTAAATACTTTATGAGTAAGATTGAGAATTCTATAAAAGACTAGAACTTTATGGAGATGTGTAGAACTCTTTAGAATAGAATGGAGTTATCCAAAGAAGTAATGTTCTCTAGATATGTGTAGAATGTTGTAATACGGTATTAGTAATACCTTGTCATGGCAGTTTTCTTTTTCTTCCAGGGACTCCCTATTCTCAAGCTTGATGCTGCAATCAATATCCTCAATGACAAGGATGGAACGGCTAGACATTGAAAGCAACAACGACCTCAAATTCGTGTTATTGCGAACTTCTGTAAGATCAAGATCGTATATGTCATAGCTAAGATAGTTAGACATAGTAGCAATCAAGCTGGACTTTCCTGTTCCGGGAGGACCATACAGCAAGTACCCGCGCTTCCAAGGCTTGCCAATCTTCTTGTAGTATTCTTTCCCCTTCAAGAACTTGTTTAAGTCTTCAATAAGCGATGCCTTAACCACATCATCCATAGCCAATGTGGTGAAAGTCATGGGATGTTGAAGAATGATATTGTTACCTGTAGTGGCGGAGCCAGAAATAGTAGATCATAGAGGTCGAAGCTTAAAAGTTCACTATACTTTTTTATGAAGAATTCAATTTATAGCTTCCATGAAGCTTCCTCCATGTGCAAGAATGACAAGGGGAGCTTCCTCAACCACCATTGAAGCTTCCTCATGTTCCATTGAAGCTTCCTCCTAGCTTCAACACATCTTCCTCCCACCTCCATACTACCTTGTTTTGGTACTATAAATAGAGAGCTTGGAGAGTCTTTCTATCATCAAGTAAATTAGAATAGATCATCATAGCACAACCAAGAAGAGTTGTGAATATCCTTGAGAGATATGTGAGGTGTTGTTTTGAGAGTTTTTAGTTAGAGCTTGTATGTCTCTTCTTTCTATTCTTGAAAGTAATAGAAGTGTTTTTCTCTCATATTAGCACGATCCTGTTATTCCCAACAAGTGGTATCAGAGCCTGGTTGAGCTTTTAATATTTTTCCCAGATTTTTTCAGATAAAATTCTACTGTCTGAAAAATCGAGTTTTTCATTATTGCTCGGAATTGCAATCAGAATATACCGTTGGATTCGTCTCGTCGAGACGAGAAAACTGCTATTTTTGGGGATTTTTTTGGCCACCGGAAGCTGCCGTACGCGCCGCCAAACGCCGGCCAAAAACTGTCTGCGTCATGTTGACGTCATCACGCGCAGACAGAGGTTGAAGACAGCTGACGTCATCGCTGACGTCATCAGCCAGCCAGAGCTGCGTCAGCGCCACATGTGCAGTCCCAGCACAGTCAGCCGCCACGTCACCAGTCAACTTCCAACTTTCACCAGCGCCCAGTCAGCTGCCACGTCATCGCCCAGTCACCGCCACGTCACCGCCACGTCATCTGCCACGTCACCGGTCAGTTTGTAATTTTGAAAATTTGCAGTTTGGTCCCTCAATTTTTGGAAAATTATAATTTCCACCTGTAATTTTTCGAAAATTGTATTTTGACCCCGAAAGTGCCTATCCACCATTTTCGGCCGTTTCGGACGCAACGGTGCTGCCCGTTTTTCGAAATTCTGCTCCGATTTTTCTGAAACAGAAAATCAAAATTATTTAGAAGGTGAAAATGACCTTTGACGAGTCAACTTCATCTTCCGGAGCTATGATTATGCTCACGGCTACCAACTACACGCTATGGAAACCTCGGATGGAAGATTTCCTTAGCTGTAAAGACCTTTTTGATCCAATAGAGATGAAAGGTATTAATCCTGACCCGGCTAAGTCAACGGAATGGAAGAAAATTAATAGAAAAACTATTGGTCAAATCCGACAATGGATTGACCATAGTGTCTTCCACCATGTTGCACAAGAAACCGATGCTTATGCCCTTTGGAAAAAGTTAGAAGATATGTACCAGGCCAAGACCGCTAGGAACAAGGCCCTACTGATGAGGCGTCTTGTCAATATGAAGCTCAAAAGTGGAACTTCTGTTGCCGAACATACTAGTCAATTTCAGAGTCTGGTAAATCAACTATCTTGTGTAGAAATGCCACTTGGAGATGAAATGCAATCTCTACTGCTTCTTAGTTCCCTTCCTGATAGTTGGGAGACACTAGTTGTTACTCTCAGCAACTCAGCCCCAGATGGCAAACTTACCATGTCTGTGGTCAAGGATGCACTGTTCAATGAGGAGGCAAGAAGGAAAGACATGAGCACAGATGAGACTCATGCCCTTGTGACAGAGAATAGAGGAAGATCACAAGGAAAACAACAAAGAAACAGTAGAGGGAAATGGCAAAGCAGGGGCAAAAGTCGGGGGAGATCATCAGATGGCCGGAAACCTTCTTATACCTGCCACCATTGCGGTATAGAGGGTCACATGAAGAAGAATTGCTACAAATTGCTAGAGGAGCGAGGCAAGAGCAATTCTCAAGCGAAGAGCAAGGGTGGTGAAGCGCTCATCACAATCTCAGGTGATGTGGCGTATTGTACTATCAATGATGAAACATGCCTTCACGTCTCAAGACAGGACACTGAATGGGTGGTAGATACTGCAGCATCCTACCACGTTACTCCCCACAGGTACTACTTCACAACTTACAAAGCTGGAGACTTTGGAGCAGTGAAGATGGGTAATTCCAGTTCATCTGAAATAGCTGGAATTGGTGATGTACAAATAAAGACGAGTTCTGGGAGCACAATCACTTTGAAGGATGTCAGACATGTTCCAGACCTTCGTCTCAATCTCCTGTCAGTGGTATGTCTTGACGAACAGGGATATGAAAACCACATCAACAGAGGCACCTGGAAAATGTCAAAGGGCGTTTTGACAATCGCTCGAGGACATGTTTGTGGCACATTGTACAAAACTCATTTGAGGATTTGTACGGATAGCCTCAATATTGCTGAGGAGACTACTCAGAATCTGTGGCATCTGAGGCTCGGCCACATCGGTGAGAAAGGGTTGACTACCTTGATGAAGAAGAACCTTATCAACATCGACAAGAATGCTGCACTGAGTCCTTGCAGTCATTGTCTGTTTGGTAAGCAACACAGAGTATCATTTAATTCTACTTCAACTAAAAGATCGGAGTTGTTAAGTTTGGTACACTCCGATGTCTGTGGTCCTTTCGAGGTGGAATCAATCGGTGGAAGCAGATTTTTTCTGACTTTTATCGATGATGCTTCTCGGAAAGTGTGGGTGTATTTCCTTATTACGAAGGATCAGGTGTTCGAGAGCTTCAAGACATTTCACGTCTTGGTGGAACGTGAAACAGGAAAGAAGCTGAAATGTATCCGATCTGATAATGGGGGCGAGTACACATCTAAGGCGTTCGATGCATATTGCAGAGAATATGGCATTCGACATGAGAAGTCAGTACCACGCACCCCTCAGCACAACGGCGTTGCTGAAAGAATGAACCGGACTATCATGGAGCGTGTTCGGAGCATGCTGAATATGGCAAAACTTCCGAAGTCATTCTGGGGAGAAGCAGTCAACACCGCATGCTATCTTATCAACCGATCACCTTCAGTACCACTGAACTTTGAAGTTCCAGAGAGACTATGGACAGGTAAGGATCCTACATACTCACATCTTAGAGTATTTGGTTGTTCATCATATGCACATGTATCCAAAAAGCTCAGACAGAAGCTCGATGCAAGAACTATCCCATGCATTTTCGTTGGCTACGGAAATGAAGAGTTTGGATACAGGTTATGGGATCCTAAGGAGAAAAAGGTGTTCAGAAGTAGGGACGTTGTGTTCCACGAAGATTTGAAAATAGAAGACATTGAAAAACCCACAATGTCTCGGAAGTCAAGTGAGGGTGCTCAAGTTTCAAATGAAGCACCAGAAGAGGACGAAGTGCATGAAGATAACTCAGAAGCAGCCAAAGAGGAGGAGACAGAAGAGAGTACAGAGCAAGGGGAGACACAATCCACCCCGCCAGACACTGATGATGGTAGCTCTTCTCAGATGGTTCCAACTGTTCGTAGATCTGAACGAGGGCATATACCATCGACAAGGTACACATCATCTGAATATCTTTTGTTAACTGAAGATGGAGAACCGGAGAGTTTTCAAGAAGCTGTATCTCATAAGGATAAAGAAAAATGGCTAATAGCAATGCAGGATGAGTTAGAATCTCTGCAGAAAAATCAAACTTATGAGATCATAGAACTTCCTAAAGGGAAGAAGGCATTAAGGAACAAATGGGTGTTCAAGCTAAAGAAAGATGCAAGCGGACAAGTGGTGAAACACAAAGCTCGGTTGGTTGTCAAAGGGTTCCAGCAGAAGAAAGGAATTGACTTTGATGAGATCTTTGCACCAGTTGTCAAGATGACCTCAATCCGAGTTATACTTGGCTTGGCAGCAAGTATGAACTTGGAGCTTGAACAGATGGATGTGAAGACAGCATTTCTTCACAGAGATTTGAAAGAAGAAATCTACATGCAGCAGCCGGAAGGTTTTGAGAACTCAAATGATAACTTTGTGTGTAAGTTATATAAAAGTTTGTATGGCTTGAAGCAGGCACCAAGGCAGTGGAATAAGAAGTTTGACTCATGCATGAAGAGTCAAGGCTACAAGAAGACTACTGCAGATGAGTGTGTATACATCAAGAAACTTCCAGACGGTACCTTCATTGCTCTTTTACTATATGTAGACAACATGTTGATCGTTGGGAAAGATGTAGTGAAGATAAACCAGCTGAAGAAAGAACTCTCTAAGTCTTTTGATATGAAAGACTTAGGACCGGCTCAACAGATTCTTGGGATGCAGATCACTCGAGACAGGAAGAATCGCAAGTTATGGCTATCTCAGAAGAAGTACATTGAACGAGTACTTGAGATTCAACATGAATGATGCCAAGCCAGTAAGTGTTCCACTTGCGAATCACTTCAAGTTGAGCAAAAGAACATGCCCTACATCCAAGGAAGAGATCGGGGAGATGTCAGCAGTTCCATATTCTTCAGCAGTTGGGAGTTTGATGTACGCCATGGTATGCACAAGGCCAGACATCGCACAGGCAGTGGGTACAGTGAGTCGTTTTCTCTCTAACCCCGGGAAGGAGCATTGGGAGGCAGTCAAATGGATTCTCAGGTACTTGAAAGGTACTATGAAGTTATGTCTTTGTTACGGAGGAGCTGACCCAGTCTTGGAAGGCTACACAGATGCTGATATGGCCGGAGACACTGATAGCAGAAAGTCTACTTCAGGATATATCTACACTTTTGCAGGGGGAGCCGTTTCTTGGCAATCAAGATTGCAGAAGTGTGTTGCTTTATCTATAACAGAAGCAGAATACATTGCTGCCGCTGAAGCAGGTAAGGAAATGTTGTGGCTAAAGCGTTTTCTCCAAGAACTTGGGATCCAGCAGAAAGAGTACAAAGTACATTGTGACAGTCAGAGTGCTCTAGACTTGAGCAAGAACTCTATGTACCATTCTCGTACAAAGCATATTGACATTTGGTATCACTGGATACGAGAGACGATTGATCAACAACTGTTGAGACTAGTGAAGATCAATACAAAGGAGAATCCATCAGACATGCTGACGAAGGTGGTGACACGGGATAAGCTAGAGCTGTGCAGAGACATAGTTGGGATGCTTGTTTTGAATATGCCTGGAATGGGAGAATTGAAGAATTCAATTTCCAGGTCATATCCAAGTACAAGCAAATTGAAGAATCCAATTCATAGCTTCCATGAAGCTTCCTCCATGTGCAAGAATGACAAGGGGAGCTTCCTCAACCACCATTGAAGCTTCCTCATGTTCCATTGAAGCTTCCTCCTAGCTTCAACAAATCTTCCTCCCACCTTCATACTACCTTGTTTTGGTACTATAAATAGAGAGCTTGGAGAGTCTTTCTATTATCAAGTAAATTAGAATAGATCATCATAGCACAACCAAGAACAGTTGTGAATATCCTTGAGAGATATGTGAGGTGTTGTTTTGAGAGTTTTTAGTTAGAGCTTGTATGTCTCTTCTTTCTATTCTTGAAAGTAATAGAAGTGTTTTTCTCTCATATTAGCACGATCCTGTTATTCCCAACATTTTACTGCTTATAAATATTGTACATACATATTATAGATAGTATATATATACTTCACAAATATTTTCTTGAGTTGAAGCCCCCGCCCGCCTCTTTTGTCTCCACCCCTAGTTACCTGTCCATCGTTTGATGATATTTGAATAAAACTTTGCTTCTCTGGCTTCTTCCCTTATGGCTTTTGATCTGTGCAGGACATGTGGGAGGTAGGAATTTACCACTTTTTCCTTATGGGTCCTTTGGAAACTGAGCTCGTATACCCGAACCTCGTACGACCTCGAAGATTCGTCGCCTTCCCTCTTTGCTGGCTCGAATCTCCTGCAAATGAACTTCCAACTCACTGCAATGTTTTCAAAGTAATCCAGAGTTTCTTCATTCTTGTCCAGGGTCATGATCAGGCTCTTGTCCCCGACTATTTTGCTGAGTTTGACTCTCTGGGTCAACGGGTGCTCGATCTTGCCGAGGTATACCTCAGCTGCATCGAAAAGCTCGTTTCTTGACAGACCTTGGAACTCTTCAATGGCGATGGTGAATGTAGTAGAGAAACGCCGGCAGAAGTCGTCAATGGATTGGAACAGGGATTAACGGAACCTTCTTGGGACTAAGTCTCTCCACAGCTTATCTACAAATATGGCAGTTGCAGCCAAAGAGGCCATTGTGGTGGCAATAGTTTTCATTTTTTGGAGAGCCATTGGTGATTTCTCAATGGAGTTTTTTCTTCAATTTTTGGAGGTCAGTCCGGTATACATTCCCGATACATACAAGGGGGTGGTGGCTGTGGATTGTGTTTGGCAGATTCGGGCTTTGTTTGCAAACAATTAATTTAAGTGTTGATGGAGTATATGGCCTAGAAATCTCCGGCCCATAGACTCATGTTTCTCCCACAAAAGCCCATTAAGTCCAGGGAGCATCTGAGGCCCAAATACAACGGCCCAAGCCTCAAAGAAGCCCGAAGTACACACTGGGGTGCCTTTGGCCTCCTTGGCCGAAGGCTCCAAAACTCACAGTATAGACTTTTCCGACATACGAAGCTATTGGGAGGAAACGGCAGAAAAACAGGAGCCTTCGGCACTGTGAAGCCTTCGGCATCAGAGAAGCCCTCGCGGATGAAGAACCGAGCCTTCGGTTATGCAAAGCCCTCGGCCACAACCAAGCCCCCAGCTACTCGAGGAGCCTTCGGCCAAACAGGCTCAATCATCGAAGATTCCCTTTGGAGACAGCCAACCACCACATTTAATACGACGTCACATCCACCCATCGCATTCAATGCGGCGAACATGCCACTGCCAGTGCCACCTGATTGATGTGACCCCTCGGCCGTTGGATTGTTGACACGTGTATTCTCATCACATTTATTGCTGCTATAAATAGCAGCCCTTATTCACCTTGTAAACCACACAGAGTTCATTTAATAAATCGACTCTCTCTCCTCCTATTTTGCTCTGACTTCTCTCTAGTTATTCCCTCAATAACCCCTCGGATAAGATACCCCCCGGGTAGACAATCCATCAAGTGTTTTTGATTTTTTTTAAAGAAAAAAGCACTTATTTTACCAAATAACACCAGCTTTTACTTTTTCGGTTTTCGTGTAGAATCTACTTTTTACTTTTTCTATTACACAAAAAGCATTTATTTTACCAAACACTACCAACTTTTACTAATAATCACTTTTTCCCAAAAGTGCTTTTATTTAAGCACAATCACTTGCAAACAGAGCCTCAAAGGAGTGTTTGGAGTTGCTTGAAAAAAGCGTTTTTCAGCTTTTGGCTTAAAAAAAGTTGAAAAGAGTGTTTTCAAATGACAGCTTCTGCTTAAATTAATCACTTAAAAGCTAAAAGTTGGAAGCAGGTAGAAGGGTGCTTTAAACTGCTTCTCACTTTTTCTATTACACAAAAAGTACTTATTTTACCAAACACTATTAACTTTTACTTTTTCAAAATCACTTTTTTCTCAAACACTACCAACTTTTACTATTAATCACTTTTCCCAAAATCACTTTAAAAAATCACTTTTTTAAAGTTGAAGCAATTGCAAACACTCCCTCATAACAGTTAGATTTTGTTTGCCGTTGTGATTAGCCGATAGTATTAGCGGTTCATAGAACGGTGTTTGGTTAAATGGTTGTTTATAATAGAACTTGCTAATAGACTATTAAAGATATCAATTAAATTTTAGCTTAAATTATTAATGTTATTATTATTATTAATATTATTATTACTACTATTATTATTATTAATATGGGAAAATAATTTAAATACTCAAACTTTATGGGGTATGAGATAAGTACTCCAAACATGCATATGTAATATATATACCTTGAACTTTGTATAAAAAGTTATTTTCGCACTATGATTGTATGATTTTTTTACAAATACATATTTACAAGAATAATTAAATAATTTAAAATAAGCTAAACTTTGTTAGAATGCAATTAACATTCTAAAATTTCATTTATGAAATAATAATATTACATCCAGTTTTATTTAATTCTAATTGCATCCTCATAAATGTTTGTGTATTTTAAGTTATTTACTTAGCACCACAGAATTATATTTGTGAAAAAATATGTGATCTTTAGTGCTATATATATATATAGGTTCTATTTCAAATAAGAACATGATCTTAGGAGAAAACTGAGAACGAATCTGGACCGTTAGATTTGATTTAAGTGGAATTGAATGTGCATTAGATGAAACTATAATGTGCATTAGGTGAAATTGAAATGTGCAACCCAAAGGGTACGGTACAATACATTGTCATTATGTTAAGCTGAATTGTGCATTGGATGAAATAGAAATGTGCACTAGGTGAAACTGAAACGTGCAGAATGAAAAGTACGATATCATGTTATTTTTGTACATGTTATTCCCCACATTTCAGGTTCACTTAATGCACACTTGAGTTTAAATTTTTATTCAGCACATTTCAATATCATCTAATTCACATTTAAGTTTCACCAAATGCACATTTCTGTTCCACATAATACAATCCAACGGTCAAGATTCGTTCTTATTTCTCTCATGGAAGTTCGTTCTTATCGGAACCGCTCCCTATATATATATATATATATATATATATATATATATATATATATATATATATATATATATATAGAGGAATGTTCATGTCAGGCCGGCCTGACGGGCTGCTCCGTCCGGCCGAGCCCGTTTGGGCACCTTCCCGGTGGAATTTTTTGATGAATTTTTTTGAGCATGTTCCTCATCAAGTCTAGTTTGTCCATACCAAATTTCAGCTCAAAATTCGATCGGGAAGACATTCAAATCATTTTTTGAAGTTGACTGCAATTTTATATGTATATTTTGACGCAGTCAACTTCAAAAAATGATTTGAATGCCTTCCCGATCGAATTTTGAGCTGAAATTTGGTATGGACAAACTAGACTTGATGGGGAACATGCTCAAAAAATTTCATCAAAAAATTCCACCGGGAAGGTGCCCAAATGGGCTCGGCCGGACGGAGCATCCCGTCAGGCCGGCCTGATGAGAAGAGCACTCTATATATATATATATATATATATATATATATATATATATATATATATATATATATATATATATATTACATGTGCAAGTTTGGAGTACTTAACTCACACCCCTTCAAAGTTTGGGATATATAAATTATTCCCCTTTATTAATATTAATATTAATATTAATATTTTGACATTAGAAAAGTACATAGGATATTTTAATTAATAAATGTACAAAACTAAATTGAAGCTAAATTGGGAAAAACTAGTAAAGAAGAGTGGGAATGTGGAATGTGGTGGGTGGTTTTTCTCTTTGACGTATGGGATGAGGCAAATGTGGAAAGTAAGGAAATAGCTGTGAAATAATGGGAAAGAGGTACTCCAATAGGAGTCCTGACAGATATATTTATAATAGAAGAGTTGCCAAAATACAAAGTATTCCTAAACAGATATTAGGCAGATTCCTAAATATCTATTAGGTAGATTCCTAATTATATTAGCCTATTACACCCCCTCAAACTGTGCGGGAGATACAACGCGCAGGTTGTCTTTTAAAAAATGAAATTGCAAACTAAAAAAAACTCTTAGTAAATATATCTGTGAGTGGAAGATTAGAAGGCACATCTTTGACAATAAGATCTCCATGAGAATATATGTCTGCAGCAGCCAGCGGCGAACTCAACAGCGCGCTTGAAGCAAGCACCGTGGTCAGCGACGCAGAGAAGGTGGGCTGCGCGGACATAGGCAGCAACAGGCGGCGAACTCAACGGCATGCTGGAAGCAAGCACCGTGTTCAGCGACGCGAAGGAGGTGATCTGCGCCATATTAGCCGCGCTCATCTTCAAAGGATCGGAGACTACCGTAAATGTGGCGGCAGTCGACCCCGAGGCGGCGGCGGCTATAATAAGGTTCATGGGAACCGAAAAAAGAAAAAAAATTGTATCTACAAACCTAGAGCTCTTGATACCATGTGAAATAATGGGAAAGAGGTACTCCAATAGGAGTCCTGACAGATATATTTATAATAGAAGAGTTGCCAAAATACAAAGTATTCCTAAACAGATATTAGGCAGATTCCTAAATATCTATTAGGTAGATTCCTAATTATATTAGCCTATTATAATAGGCTAATATAATTAGGTAGATTCCTAATTATATTAGCCTATTAAGATTCCTAAATATCTATTAGGTAGATTCCTAATTATATTAGCCTATTAATAGCTGTGTAGGTACTAAAGAAAAATAAGCAAAAGCCATACATAAACACCACATTTGATAGCATTTTAAATTTTGATTGTTTGGGATTTTGGGAAAAAAGCCAAATGAAAATGTCATTTAACCAAACACTTTTCTTAGTTGATAGATTTAGCCAAAACATAATTATTAGTCAAATCAGTCAAGTATTAGTGTGATGGTTAACAAGAGTGACTTAATGTGATTAACGTTAAATTGATAAAGTAAGAAAGCTTAAAGTCCTATCAATATCACCAAACTTCATACAGAGAGGCATCATAGAGAGAGTACTAGTTAAATTGATGGACCCAAGTTAACTATCAATACCTTGAAAAGTAAAAAATAACTAAATAAAATGAGTTGGAGATGTGTATGTTGACTAATTAAAAAGAGTTGGAGGTGAATATGTTTATAAACTATATTAAAAGTTTTTAAAGTCGTAAAACTTGAATTTAAATATATTGAAATCTGATGTATAAATTAAAGTGAAGTCTATTGACCAATATAATATATAATTTTAATTTTTATTTTTATTTTTACTTTTATTTTTATTTTGAGAGTCGTGTAATAATGATGGTGAGAACACTGTTTGTTCAAGGATTCAGAAGGATAAATTAAAGTGAAGCATCATTTTTCTTGAGCTAGCAACGTATTTTTTTTTGTTTTGAAATGAATTAATAATAATAATAGTAATCTCTCTACATAATTGCAATACTTTGAGGAGGAGCATTTTCCCGCTCAAGTTTTCAGGGTCATTTCAGCCGTACGATTAATTATTAATTTAGATCTAAGCCTTATACACTTCATTCTTTCTCTTCCCATGTCTCATCGTTTTCGAGCTCCAGCTTCGATCCTCATCATTCTCCCTCACCACCGGAAACCAAATCACTCAAAGGCACATGTTCGTCTTGCATTCGCATTTCTTACCTTATATCTTATCGCTGCTCTTATTCCTCTCCTGCTCCACCAATCAAACCTACCCAATTCATGCTTTCTCCCTCACGTACCCCTTTATCTCTTCGCTCTTGGCTCCGATTTGCTTCTGGGTTTTGCCAAATTTTCTGAAGAGGGAAAACCTATGTTGGGAAGTGGAGTGTGTGGCGGAATCCTTCTGGAACGGTGAAGCAAACATGAAGCTTACAATCCAACACTTTTGTGATTAGCTTTCCGGATCCCTAAATGGTGAGTTTGATTAGAAGATTATAACTTCATTGGTGAAACTTTAGAGAGCCATTGATTAGAATCTTTCCGTCTAAATTTTCTGATTGTTCTTTTGAGTTTGATTATTCAATCTCACATCATATTGGATTTTTGTATTTCAGACTACGACTCCTTTGTTGCTTGCATTTAATTAATTTTTTATTAGTTGTTTTTGTTTAAACTTGCTGCATATGATTTGGGGTTGCTCAAAATGATCTGGAAGTTTCATTCCATCTTAAAGTTACATTCATATTTTGCATATTTTTGAAGGTTGAATACAAAAAAGTAAAAAATCAAATTTAAAGGTGCAAAACTCCACACTCTATCTGCTTCTACACACCAATAGCAGACTTTTAGTAAAGGTAGGTTGAGATATGTCTCATGAGAGTTCCTGATCGCTTTCTTAGGATTTGAGATATTAAAAATTGATGATTTTAGTTCAAATTCACATATGGAAGGTGCATATATATGTAAGTGTCTATACTAACTCTATTTGAGTCTGCAGATGTCTATTAATAATCAAATTGTAGCATTATATTCAGATTTACTATTCAAAACGTAATAGACGGTTCAAACTTCAAATTAGTGATAATGTTAAAGAAGCAGTTAAGTGAGTAATCAAAATTATGGAATTATGCTTCTTCACAATCAAATTTAATATTTTCCCATTTACTCTTATTTTCTTTTTCTATAGCACTTCTTCCTCATATTTATGCATTTATTGAAACTAAATTTTTGCTTCTTCTGTTCCACATGGCAGGAAGCTAATATGGGATTCTTCCACCCTGATTGGCAGTTATTGTACTGTAGTTATTAGGCCATCATCAAACT